CGTCCGGGTCTGGCGGCTCGATCGGGTCAGGTCGGTTGACTTGGGCGGCTCGATTTGCTCTAATTTATCGCACGCTTATCCGATTTAGTTGAAACTTTGACCCACGCTCCTCAAATCTTTTTCTCCTCGTCTTGAGATGCACAAATAGATGTCACCACGCAATTAATAAATATGCTTGGAAATGGTTCGCGTGGCTCGGACGGCTCGAAAAATGTCTCGGAAATGGCTCGTCCTCCCAAACACGAACAATTTGGACCTAGTCAACACCAAAAAGACAAGAAAAGTACTCCGAACTACAAAAACACAAAACGAGAGCAAAAATGCACGAAACACGATAAATTGGACCGGTCGACACTAAAATGAACCTAAAAACACTAAACTAAAGCACATAAAACACATGAAAATAAGCACAAAAACACAATAAACACTATGCCAAAATGACTTTTCATCTCCAAGGAGCTGATTACGTGACGAGCCAAGGATAGTGTGGCTTAAATAAGAATGTGATTAAGTTTGCTGATGAGGATTGTTCCAAGGATAGAGGATAGTGTGGTTTTATCAAGTGATATACATTCTTCTAATCGAAAAAGCCACAATATGTCATATGAGTAATTACAACATATACAAATTTAGATGAGAAGCTAGAAAGATAAGGGATTTTCTTAACAAATAAATAGTAACTCTTGTTGTGGCATGCTCTCAACTGCATGACAGAAATATAGTGATGATGAGCTTATATATATCATATATTCCCTTTAGTTCAAAAACCATCTCCATGGCATCACAAACTACGTACATTTCATTTGACTTGACTTTGGCTAGCTACACGTCAATCAAAATGAAATATTGTCATAGCTTATGGATTATTGTTGTCGGAAACTAGTAAAATTCACATTATGCCAGCAAACATTTTATATCGCATTCTACCGACAATACTCCGGTAGAGTGTTGCATCCACCTTCCCCGCGGTGCTGGCTTTCGTCAGCTTCAGCTGCTCCTCCATCGGAGTCGCGCATGACTTGCAGTCAGCCATGCCGCTCCTCTCCAACAGCTTCCCCGCATACGCACACTGGCAGAGAGTGATTAAGTCTCTCCCTTACTTCACCTCGATGCCGAGATAGTAGGAGAGTTGCCCAAGATCGCTCATGCAGAAACGAGCTGCAATCTCGCTGTGCAGTCTTCTTCTTCATCCTCGGTGCCTTCTTCGATGGCCCGCCCAAGCTTGCGCGCACGCAACTTGACCTTCATCAGCACCGCCCACTCGCCGTAGTTTGTGTGTGTGAGGACCGACCAGTTGGCCCCACCAACGTCCTGCACGGTCCTGTGGATGATGACCTCCTGGCGCGGTGAAGCGTCTGCTTCGCTTCCTTGCACCGTCGAAGCAGCATCTTGGCTTGCCATGACTCTGATGCCGGACTTTGTTAGTCCCTGCTCGTTCACAGCTACTCTGTTTGCAGCTGAGCTGCACTATTTAGGTAAGAAAAAATGCTTCCCGGCACAAACAGACACTTTTAGAATGGAAGAAGAAGATTGTGAACAACTCAATGTATTGAGTATCCAGTTTTTCTATCTTATGTTTACAAATAAAACTGCATCCCTATTTATAAGAACTAGAAACAACTATTCTAGTGGCTTTCCTAAAAATTTCTTAACGCCTAAAATGGCTGCCATGAAAGTGTAATGAAAGTGCAAGGAAGTTGCACTTCACTAACAAGGAAACTGCAGGATTATATCTTACAGACATCCCACAACTTCTCTCTCTTTGGTGTATAGCTGCTATAGGAAATCAGAAAAATTGGCATGATGCAAGCCTGAAACTGTTTATCTTAATAGCAATTTCTGTTAGTTGCTTGCATCGAATATTATATCTTTGGTTTTCAAATGTAGTGATGAGTGGTGACAAACTAGAAGTATAAACTTCGAACTTTTGGGAAACCATAGATTGAAGGCTTAATTACTATCCTATGAGATTTAAAACTAATTGCAACCCTACGAATCACATTAAAAAAATAGCAACCCAACAAAATGAATGGCAAATAATTGTGAATATACGATCTTATCTGTTACCATATCAAAACCGTTTCTGATCAGTTTTATTTGGAAAATCGTGATAAAATAAAAAGGAAAAAACGGAGCATTCCGTTTTTCATGGACAGAAAAAAATAAACTTCATCATCGTCGTTTTTCATGGATAGAAAATAACTGGACCCACCACGGCCGATTCTGGTTTCAGACATAGGTTTTGTTATTCGAAATGGTTCAATTTTTTCTAAGCTCTCCATCTGGCCACTCCTAAAAGCAATTACTGGTCCTGAGCAAAAGGAAGAAGCTCATTCCATTTATATACAGGTTGTTTATCCAGACTTATAATTATATACATGAATAAAGAAAAATGTACGTGATATATATAGTACGTGACATGTGCGAAGCACGAGATATATTCATTTAGAGAATATTATATTATAAGATGCAATATTCAATAAAAGTTTATAATACGCAAGAAAATTGTACAATGTTCAAATACCCGTACGAAGCATGAGATATATTTATTTGTTTTATGATTTGATAATATAAACAAATCTATACTTAACTTTGACAAATAAAACAAATAAATACTTTAATAAGTATTTAATGTATATACTAAATAGGAATATATTTGGTATAATCAAATATCAAATATAATCAAATAAGTCAAAGTGTACATTTTTATTTGGTATTTGATTTTTTTATTTTTAAAATTTTTTTATTATACTTACCTTTTTAAAATAAAATAAATAAATAAATCATATAAATAAATAAAATATTATAATACCGAAATAGTAATGACATTTAATGCAGTTGACTTTTCTGGATAGTAAATGTAGTAAATAAAATCTCATTTTATATAAGTATAGATTGTATAATACGGAAATAGTAATGCAATAAATGTTGTTGACTTTTCTTTATACTAAATCTGGTAAATGGTATACCTTTTAATATAAGTATAGATAATTTAATTAATTTTCAACAGAAAATGATTAGATAAATTTAATTTAGTGAGTATTATTAATTCATATGATAAAAACTAAATTAAGACACTAAAAATCTGAAATAAGTTTGAATCGAAGATAAGTAAATTTATGCACATATTTGCAGTTATAATGAGGCACTGGAAATATCTGTAATAACTTTTTCTTAACTATTTTAATGATGATTGATGTGAATTAAATTGCCTTAAACCAACATATCCGAAATGCTTTTAACACACTCTTATTTGCGTATCACATTGCAATATCCTAATGAATGCACCATCCTTCTGCACAAATTTTTGCAACCCATTATGCTTTTTGTGCCCCTACAATTCCTATAAATAAAGCTAATGATTTTGAACAATATTACTCATCCCAAAAATGGCCAGGCTCAATGCCCATCAATTAAAACTTCTACTTCTCAATATCTTACTGACTTTCTTAAATAGTGAAGATTCAAAATACTCTGGCTTTTCCCTAAAACTCATACCATGGGACTCCACAGAGTCACCCTTACATAAACCAAACCTCACACAAACACAAAAGATACAAATGATGGCCACATCCTCCAAGGCGCGGGCAACAATCTACGCACACCCAAAAAACGAGACTCTTAGTGCAAACAAAATACAACTCCCAGTACAGAACAAAGGTTTACAATACTCGGTCAAAATCAAAATTGGGAGCCCGAGCATAGAGGTGACCCTGCTTCTCGACACCGGTTGTGGGGACATTTGGACCCACTGCAAGAAACTGACATTCCTCCGCTTTTCGGAAAGAAATGGTTTCTTTCCGAAAAGGTCAAAAACGTACAAAGAATTACCATGTCATCATCCCATGTGCGAAAAGAGCAAGGAATGTAATTGCAAAAAGAATAAGTGTGTTTGCACCCTTAGATATGGTTATACTGGAGGGAAAATAAATGTGGTCCACGCGAAACAAAAGTTCAAAAACTTTCACAAACATGATCTTTGGGTGCACAGACCAGTCACCCGTGTTCTCCGGAATCCTCGGCATGGACAAGCTGCCGAGTTCCCTAATTAGCCGAGTGAGGGAAAATGTCAAGGGACGATACTCGTACTGCCTTCACCAGGGGAATGGTCTCTTAAGATTTGGAGACGACATACCACAAGTCACGAAAGATTATAAGACAACAAAGATATTAGACCCTTCGTACAATGGAATGTACGTAGACTTGACGGATATAAGTGTGGCTGGTAAGCAGCTTGGACTCTCTCCATCTATGTTTTCGCATGCAAATGGAGGTTTTATCATAGACACAGGGACTCAATTCACGGTACTCAAGAGACAAGCTTATGACAAGGTGATAAAAGCTTTTGTGGATTACTATGCCAATAGGTTAAAACGGGTGCAAATGCGGGAGTGGGACCTCTGTTACAAGCACAATTCAAGTATGAGGAGCTATGCCAGCATGACTTTTCATCTTCAAGGAGCCGATTACGTGACGAGTGATTTGTTTGTGAACCTCAAGGGAGGAGTTATGTGCCTTGCGTGTTACCGAGCGATATCTCGATAATGGGAGCCATGCAACAACTTAATAAGAGGTTCATCTGTGATGTAAACAAGAATGAGATGAAGTTTACCAATGAGGATTGCTCGAAAGATCGAGGATAATGAGTTTTTATGAAGTGATATATACGTGGATTTCAATAGCAAGTCTTTCTTTTAATCCAATAAAGCCGCAAGTTGAGGGAAAAGATTTAAAGCTTTTCTTACTACATCCAAAACTCGAATTGTTTTTATGAAATATTCCTTCTTTGTTTTTGTGGATGAGCAAATTATAAGACAATTTAATATCAATACAAACACAAATTTAGATGAGCAAACGTTTAACAAAAATTACAAAATTTGTTGTCGAGGTTAGGAGTAACTACTAAACATTTGCTTGAAAATTCGGAATGAAATAATTACTTGTGCTGAAACATTTGAAAGCTAAATTAATTAGTAGTAAGGGAAAATTTAAATCAGGCTTAAAGTCAAGCCATAATAAATTTCTAACAAGTACACATTTCAGCATCCCTGTCATTACTCTAGATGACTGATATTCCAAAGAGTTGGTTGAAATTATAAAAGTTAGTTAAGTTACACACACAGGTGAGATAACAATATTCGACAAGGCAATTTCCCGAATGAAAATAAATTATAATATGATTCACCTTCTCATTAAAATAAAGTGTCATATGTGCCTAATCACATAGAAGCAAAGTGTAAAAAGATACAAACAAAATAGGGAGAACATTATCCCATGATTCACCTATTCAAGAAGTAAAACCGTTGTGTAGCTTTCCATTTATCTACGATTGACAGAGTAGACATATATACATCAAGTAAGACTTACCTACATTATTACAGATAAAAGCAACATCAATTAAAGGTGACACGAATAGATAGAGCCAAAATATACTTAACCTTTTCTCACCAATGAAAAGAACATTTTATAGCAAAAACACAACTAGTTTTTCCTTCAACTGATACTATAATCACTCTTCAAAGTAACTGCTCATCTTCTCATTCTCATCTCTTCATTTATTGCTCTATTCCAGAACTTTGGTTGCATTCTCGTATTTCAACTAGTCAGAGACTTGTCCAATCAAATCACATTCACTACTTACAAATGAATATGAGCAGATGCATTAGAAATATTTACCTTGTCCATCTCCTTCTGGCATTCTTCCATTGCAACACACCACCAGCAGCTGATGGGCTCAAATTGAAGCTCATCCCATGGGACTCTCCCGAGTCGCCATTGTACCCTGGAAATCTCACGACACTCCAGAAACATCAAAGAGCCATCCGATTCTCAAACCATTTGCAAACCCTTTCTCTGTACTCTCCAAACACAAAACCCGACCAAACTAAACTACAAATTCCAGTGCACAGCCATTCTTTCCGTTACTCTGTGAACCTCAGAATCGGCACACCAAGCAAAGAGGTAAACTTGCTGTTCGATACGGGAAGTGCCTTTGTCTGGACACAATGCGACCCTAAATCAAACACGTACAATCCCTCGACCTCCAAAACCTACAAGCCCCTCCCGTGCAACCACCGGCTGTGTGCGAAAAAAATCTGCAAATGCGTCAAAAATCAGTGTGTTTGCACCATTCCGTACGGATCGAGCGGCATGAAATACAAGCTGGCATACTCGTTGGACACGTTTCACTTGCCTCAATCCAAGACCCCATTTCCGGGAATCGCATTCGGCTGCTCGACCAAACAGCCCCTTAGTTTCTCCGGAATTTTGGGGCTGGACAGGACGCCGGTTTCTCTATTGGCACAGGTGCGCGACCAAATCGGAGGCCAATTCTCTTACTGCCTGCACAATGGGCCGAGCTTCCTAACCCTAGGAAAAGACGCCCAAATTTCCGACGCAAAACACGTGAAAACCACGCCGCTTGTGCACACGGATTTCTCAACCCTCCTATTGAACCTGACGGACATTAGCGTCGCTGGGAAAAGGATAGGCTTGTCGCCGACCCTGTTTTCCCTCAAAAACGGCGGCGTTTTCATGGATACCGGGATGAGGTACACCGTCCTGGCGAAGGCGGCCTACGACAAGGTTAGCAAAGCATTCGCGAACTATTTCAAAGGGAAACTGAAGAAACTTTCGGAATCGCACTTCGATATGGAGCCTTGCTATCAGATGACTCCAGGGTTTAAGAATTTTCCGACGATGACGTTCCACTTCGAGGGGGCAGCGGCGGACATGGTGGTGGACTACACGCACGTCTCCGACGGGAGCGTGGCGTGCACGGCGGTGGCGAGAGGCGGAAGGACCATAATCGGGGCGTTGCAGCAGTGGAACACGAGGATCGTGTTCGACATCGATAAGAACGTGATGAAATTTCAACGCGCCGATTGTGCGAAGGACGGGAAATAGAAGGCTCCTCAGTCGGCACACTCGACTCCTAAACGGAAATCGGTCGCGTATGGTTTATAGGTAGACCGACGTTAAATGAAATAATTAACAATTTAGAGCCGTCCAAACTTGTAACGGGCGAGTTTGTACTTTAAATTTCTTTTCTTTAAATTTTATTTTAACAATATACTATTCTTACGACCCGTTTATATTAATATAAATAATATTTAAAACATATATTTATTTTTTGATACAGTAAATAATAATTTTACTTATTATTATTATTCATCATAATACTTAAATATTATTCTATTCTAAAATTTAATTTCATATAGTTTTATTATTATTAGTTATAGCACTTTTAAAAGTAGTATTCTATCTTTTTATATAATGATAAGTATTTAATTTACATTATATTATTTATTGATGTACTTAATTTAAAAATATATAAATAAATTTTAAATAAATATTGTGTCATATATGCATTCTATTCAATTTTTAGAATTTATCCTATCTCATAATAATTAAAATTCAAATCATATAAATACGATTTTATGACAATATTAAATATATTAAGCCTAATCTTGCGGAAATTTTTTAGAATTTATCCTATCTCATAATAATTAAAATTCAAATCATATAAATACGATTTTATGACAATATTAAATATATTAAGCCTAATCTTGCGGAAATTGTCCCTGCCTTGACGTCTTCGATTACTTGAAAAATGTCGCTCAAGTGAGTTCACTCAACAATGGTATGAGGATATGATGTATTTACGCGTGTATGTGTGTTGTGTGAAAGTAATAACATGTGTCCCATTTTAAGATGGCGTGTTAACCAAGACTTCTAGTGGGACAAGAAGTCTTCCCGTATCTTCCCTCTTAACAAATTAAACCTCAAATCTTTAGAATCCTTAGTAGCATGAACCTCCATCGTTTAAAGGTTTTAGTCTCTCCTTACGTTGGCCTCTTTTAGAGCCGTCAGTTTTACCATAAGAATCAGGAGGTTGGCGTTTTTACCCCTGCCTTCGAGGTCGGCTTTATACTTAGCTTTAATACATTTGACCCTTGCGACAAGGCCCCTTAACACTCGAGCTACATGCCCCTCGATACCGACCTGGTGTTTACCACTAGCCCCATAAATCCACATGATGACCAGCGTAGTGCAAGCCGACCTGGGACGACCCTCTCGTACTTGATGAATGCCAAGCTGAAATGCCAACAATCCACTCGGATTACTTCCAGGCCATCTCAGAGGACGACCTCACCGCGCTAGTGTGTCTAAGGTCGAGCCTCCGAGCTTAGCATGCAACATCTTACGCGAGCTACTTCGTCTTGCTATATCATCTAGTCCCCCCTCCTCCCCCAATTCTAAAATTGCCACATGTAAACATCTTTTTGTTTATATTATCACGATTTTTTTATCATTTTGAATCATTTTTTTTCATTTAAAAATTGTGATTTACATGTCCTCCAATTCATTTAGTTAATATTGAGCTACAAATAATAGAATATTGCTGTTTTTTTTCTAATGTACTTTTGTAGATATTATTTTACAAAAGATACAATAAAAATTTTTAATCTCTGTTAAAACATAACAAAAACAAAATTGTTCTCAATATCTATTACTATATAATACAGTTAAGAAAAATCAGGAAAAAAATCAAAAATTAATTTGTCATTTTTCCCCTCAAATTTTATTTGAAGTATTTGGCTAGTGTTTTCATTATTTTGGATGCGATTTGGTATTTATCGGATAAAGTCAATGTTAACCAATAACCTTCGAAATTTCACTTCCTTTTTTTTGCCAAATCCGATTTTTATTATAGTAATAGATTTCATTTTCTTTTTGTTTTTTGGAAGCAGTAATAGATTTCAATTCCGGCAAAACAATAATGTACCTAAAATTATGCAAAATCTGGCATAAAAATATGCATACAATTTCTTCCAATACTTATTTGATAGTAATACACCTAATTGATCCTAAAATCACGTAATGGTTCCCAAATTGACGTATATCCTTCTGTATTCTCATTCAAGGAATATTAACAAATCACTCGATTTATAAAGAAATTCCACCTCGGATTGTTTTCAGCAATCAATTTAGAGATTTATCATTCTAGATCTTATGATGTGGTCTTTCCAACATGGGTTTGGAGCCATGACAGATGATCTTTTAATAACTAACAAAATAATAGGTATAAAAACAACACAATTATAGACTGAATTTGATTGTTTCAGATGATGCCAAATTTTAACTCAATTAGACTGAATTCGATTATAGACTGAATTTGAGTTGTTACACATTTGTGATTATCTTACATTAAAGTGGTAGTTAAAATTTGGATCATGAAAATAAAATAAATTTTGTTTTCACATTAAAGTGGTAGTTAAAACTCAGTTCTTATGATTTGTATCTAGTTGAGCAACCTTTTGCATGGATGTTATGGCTTCACTATATTTATAAAATTAATCTAATTTTATTTTTCTAATATTATGTATTAGGATTTCCTTCTTTGTCTGACAGGATTTTCAGCGAAAATGGCTTTTATGACAGCAGCAAGCACCCATATTGGTCAATTTTAACGTACCTTTCATGGTAACAATCCATGTTTCTCTTATTTGTACTAGGGTTTTCGGCTCTAGATATCTCAATATACCGTGGCTTACTCATAAACAGGACATTACATATTCGGGTAAATAATAATTTGCAACCTGTACTATACGCGAATTTGGGATTTGCAACCTAAAGAATTTTTTGTACTAAATTGCAACCTTTAATACACGATTTGTCTATATCGCAACCTCCGGCCATCGGAAGTTCATTTTTCACCGGAAAAGCAAGCGTGCGACACACACGTGCCAAATTTGAGGGCAAAAATGTCATATCTCTTCATCCTTATACGCGAATTTGGGCTTTTTATATGTATAATAAAAAACAAATTGTCGAAATTTTCGGCTCAGGTCTGTAGAAGGATGAAGCAAGGTTATTGCCCAAATCAAAATTTCTCTTTGCTCAGATCTGTAGAATTGGGCTTTAATTTTGGCAATAACCCCAAATTCGAAATTTTTCTTTGCTCTATACATCATTTATCGAAATTATTGGCTCAGATCTGTAGAAGAAAGCAATCGAAATTTTCAAGATGTGTTCGAAATTTCTCTTTGCTCTGTTCATCTTCTTCCTCGCAGCCCCCATATTTTTAAGGTTCTGGGGAAGCTGCAGAGTACGGCGTGGATCTTCTTCCTCGCTTAAGCAGGTTACGGCGTGGATATTTTCCTTTGTGGCGGAGTTCGGTGGAGAGGTCCAGCAGCATCACTCTCTACGGCGTCGCTTTCTTGAACGCCACCTCCATAGCCCTATCAAAGAAGAAGACCTTCACCTTCCTCCCGCTACCTCCGTTCTTCCCGCTGGCTACACCGCCTCTATTTCGTGCCTTTTCTTTTTCGCCGTGATGTTTGTGTTTCTTATCACATCAAAAGGCGCAAATTTCACGGGCCTCTATTTTACTACATGGGCCTCCCGATTGAGGAATCCTATTATGTCGCTGTGGAATTCAATTTTTGATTTGGATGTGTGTGAGAGAGAGAGAGAGGATGAAGGGAGATGAAATGACATTTTGCCCCTAAATTTGGCACGTGTGTGCCACACGCTTGCTTTTCCGGTGAAAAATGAACTTCCGATGGTCGGAGGTTGCGATATAGACAAATCGTGTATTAAAGGTTGCAATTTAGTACAAAAAATTCAATAGGTTGCAAATTCCAAATTCGCGTATAGTACAGGTTGCAAATTATTATTTACCCTACATATTCCCACTACACATCCAATGCATATATCATGAATGATAATTTTTAAGATCTGTGTTATCACAAGAGTTAAAATGTTACTTAGTAATTACATATAATAAATTTATTTCTTCATTATATGCATATTGTGTTAGAAATATTTTATTGGACAACATATGTAAATTAAATGTGTATAGTTGTCATAATATTATTCAATTAAAGTGATCTATTAATTTGTAATTTTGAATAAAGAGAGTATCGAATTGTTATGAATTTAAAAGTGTAGATACCATTATGTGATTTTCTGTTTGTTGAGGGACCGAACTGAAAATCAATATTTCTTATTTATTTGGTTATGGCCCCAAACGACGAAAAGACACGAGCAGATTTATGAAGGGGTGCTTTCTCCCTTTAAAAGCACTCACCTTCTCACTTCAGAATGATTGAATATAACAAAATCATATATCCAATACAAAAACTACATATCAAAATCTGCTATAAGGTTCGATCGTTTGGAAGACCATACCAGTCCAACAAGATCGTTTGGAAGAACACAACACACGAGAATTATCAAGCAAATGAATTCATGAAGTACGGTACGCTTCCGTTTTTATTCGGTTTGATTCTCAATTATTCGATATGAATGCTCCTGGGGTAAAGAGATTTTCGCATAAGGTTAAATTTTTACAACAAGTAGTATCAGAGCCTCTTCATATTGAATTTTGAGAAATCAATCTATATATATATAATTGCTAGCTAACCTCATTTAATAAAACATTTAATAAAAATATTTTCATTTTCCCTCCAAAAGAAGTTACATTTTTTTAATTAATTACTCATTAATCTCACATTTAAGAAGGTTTCTTTTAGTTAAACTTAATTAGTTAATGACTAAATTAAAAAAATTTCTTTTAGTTAATCCACATTTATGTTTCTTATTCTTATTTATATATATAAACGTGACAGTCATTATTGTTGTGCAGAAACTATATATTATTATTTTTTATTTTATTATGAATTGAATAAGCAATTAAAGTTATAAGAAATATTAATAAATGTATTAATTACAAACATTATAATACATATCATGTTACATTACAATATAAAAAATGAAATTATTTTTTTTGTAATTTAATTTCCAGCCATACTCAATCAAATATATAACTACAAAATGATAAGAAAGATTAGTTTCATAATTAAAATTAAAAATTTAGCTCCCCAAATGGTAAAACCTTATAAATTAGTAGTATAGATACATTTAAATGACATATAATTTATAAACTTAGACTATACGCATAATAAGATGAATTATGAATTAAATAAATAAATTATTATTATAACACAGTCTATATAATTATTATAGCAAAGTCTATATTGTCAATATTATCATTTAAAAAGTTCATTGAAAAAACATATGTATAAAAAAAATCCATATGATCATAATTAA